TTTCAATGACACTTATGTTTAATTATTTATTAAGAGAAAAAAGTCTGAAATTGTTTTTATTTATTTATTTTTTTTTTCGTTATCGTTTCAAATTTAACATTCAAATGCATCTTTTTGTTCGTTTGGGTATGTGTGACCGATTTAATTTCATTTGTTATTTTATATTTCTTTTTCAAAACATTATATTAAGACAAAGATTTTCTTGTTGTTATTGCCAAACCATTGTTCATTATTTTTCGTTAATTGTTTTTTTTTTTTATATAAGATTTTGTTAATTTTGAAATTTTTGATTTTCTTTTGTAATAAATTTTTGGTTCTCTTTTCAAGAATTGCCGAAATATTTAATATGTCTTTAATACAAGTTTTCTTGTTTTCCAAATATAACCGTTTAATGAAACTCTATTTTTACTTTAGTATTTCGTTTATATAGTTGCATTTTTTGTTGTTATCCAAACATACTTATTTATATATGAATATTAATAATAATTATAATTTATGTATGTATAATTATGTATAAGAGTATATATATGGCTTAATCCATTGTATTTTGTATTACAAAAAATTGTTCACAACACTACATTTATGTTAAAGAATTTTCTTCTTTTGTTGTATATATATAAATATGTTATTTTTGTAAAACAAATTGTGTATGTAATGTCATAAAATATAACAAAAAAAAAAAAAAAAACAAAAAAAAAAAAGAAATAGAACTATTACAACTAAGGAAAGATCTTGATTATTCGCCTTTATACGTACGTACAACTTATAAGGTAGGGTTACTATGTAAAAATTGCAAAGTAGTCTCCTAACGCTATCATTGGTACCCTACTCACTTCAAGATCTTTTTCAGACTTTTTCCTTCAATCAATGGGTTCATGCTGGTTTTTACGCGGATGCAACTTTTTAAATCGGTATTTATTGTAATCGAAACGTTAATCGAATCTCGTGAGACATTTCGTGTTTCCCGATTCTGAGCTTCGGTCACTCGTATTTTCGCAAATAATAATTCGTGCAGTTTGACCTGAGGAGTATTCGCTTTCGCAAATCGCTTTCGTTTCAGAATGCCACGTAAAAACAAACAGAATAGACGGACGGACAAGCTAACCTATATTTATCAATTCCAAAAACTTAAAATAAGATATTTAATTATCAGTTTGAGATCTTTGCTTGCTAACAACGATTACAATTTATCGTATCTTCCGAGTTATTTTCAAAAAATTTTAAATCAGAATTAGGAAGATATTTTTTACAAAAGTTTCAAAATTTTAAATTAAAATATATAAAAACAAAATAACTTAATTAGTACAATTTATATTTAAATAAAAAAAAGGAATATTCCTTTTACATATATATATATATATATATATATATTGTTTTTTTTTTCTTTTATATCTTAATCTAAATGAAGTAAAAACTGTTTAAAGACTATTTTTTTCTGTTTGGTTTTGTTTCACAATTTTGTTCTGGGTCTGTATTGCTATATTGTTGTTGAATTTTTGTTTTCATGTTTTCTTGTATCAATTTATCTAAAATCATTTAAAATAATTATAAAATAATAAAAAAAAAATTAACAAAACGTAGGACACGTATCAAAGTAATAGAGAGAGAAAACGAGAGAGAGAGAGAGAGAGAAAGAGTCGATATAGATAGCTAAACTAAGGTCATTAGGTTTAGGTAGGCGTAGGTTTATAGGGTAAAATGAAAGCAGGGCTTCAATTCAAAATTTCTTTACTATTAACCACTGAACAAATGTTTCGGTAAAAGTTGTCTGCCAGAAGTAGATTTCTGTGTGAAATTTAAAATGGGATTATAATTCAAGAATTTCTGGAATTCACTTGTAACTCTTCGGAAAGGTAAGAGCAGTGGAAACGGTTTTCCTCTCCCAATCCTTATGGTAAAGCCAGACTACAATATCTACTAAAAGATTTATAGAAAGGCTACAAAAGGTGAGTTTGATTTCGGCGGCCCAGTCAAAATATATAGCAATATTTTTGTCCTCTAAAAAAACCCGGATTAAGAGTTTTAAGCTACGTTGCTCAAGTTATAGAACATTTAATGATTTTTATAGGTATATAGCAGCACGCGTTAAGGATCCGGGGAGATTTGATAACTTTGAAATTCTGTTTCATTATTTGTGGTCCCGGTAATAAGATGATTGAATATTTTCGCATGATCGTAACTCAATGCAAAACACTTCAACAAAGACATTTACAGTACAGGTTCTAAGTAGTGACTGAAAAAACTAAATATGGTGAAAAACGATAAATAATTAAATGATTTTAAAATACCTTAACTTTTCAAACAAATCAATTCAGAGAATACATCACATCAGTCTTTTAATTGGAACTGTTAAAAATAAAGTGAGCAAAAGAATAAATTAACAAATGATGAAAAAAGCAAAAAAATAAAATAATAATAAAAACAAAATGTTAATTAATGAAAATTATTTACAAACCTTTGTTAACGATTTCAATCGAAAGAACAACAAAAAAAAGAATTATAATTAAAAAGTTTTAAATAAAATAATTTTTATATTTATAAAAAATTTTAAAATAAATCGTATACTAAACATATTTTTTTTTTAATAAACCAACATATTTTTTTTTTTTTTTTTAGAGACAGCAAAAAAAGAAAGGACTTTATAAAATATAATATTTTTTAATTAAAAAAAAAAATATTAATTTCCAGTTTTTTTTTATACAATTTAAAAAATGAATGAGAAAAAGATTGTAAAAACTATTGTTAAGAAAAAAATAAATAAAACAGTGATGTTTTAAAGGAAGCACTACGTTTAATAAATTGATGAAAAATTGGATGACAACTTAAATAGCTTTAAACAAATACAAAATGCTTTCTGAAAATGCCATTATTTAGGAAAAATATTCATCTGTGCAAATAATTTACAGTGATCAGATTTTTTAGGATTTGATTTTCTTGATTTTAACATTTATTTTATAAAAAAAAAAAAAAAATTTTTTTTTTACTGTTTATGGCTTAATCATTAATAATGACTAAAATTGAACATCACATTTGTTAAAAAAAAAGTTAACATAAATGTACTTAAATGAAATGACATAATTAAAAGAAAAAATAAAAAAAAAAATTGACACATTAAAAAGCCAATACTGCTTTATCTTTGAATTTTGAATATTCAATAGCTCTAGATTTTTGCTCAATTATTATATGCCTTTGCCTTTACACCTTATGCAATTTCGGAAAGAATTTCGATTGCAATGGACAGGACGAAGCCACTATATTTTTCTCTAAGACCCATCTGAAAATAACAATAGCCTTTGTAAAGAACTATTGGTCACATTACATGAAAGTACCCTCGACGATCTTTGTCAAAATTCAGTCAAGATCTGAATGAGCTTGAAACACACAACTAACCGCGCTCCGATATAGAGTGCTATATCTCCCATACGTTTCTATCACTCACTTGCGAACAAATTCTAAAGTTGACTTTGATATCGAATCTTGCTGTTGATAAACGTTTTAAAGTTTTAAAGACTTGATTTTTATCGTAAACGTTTATGGTACAAGGTACAAGGTATGATACTTCCCGATCCCTAAAATGTTTTTCGTTACGTTAGACGTTATACAATTAAGCATTACATTAGGAGCGGACCACTGGATCTTAACATAAGCATATTTCAATTTTGAGAATTGAAATGTCAAACTTTTGACAGCAATGAAAATATCCTTTAAGTTCAATGACATGAAATGAATACAAGTGCCTTTGAAAAGTAAGCAGTGTATCTTTCTTAACATTTGTAAACCTTTTTTGCACGATATCAGATTAAATGGATTTTTTCCAGATGTCTGTAAACGTTTTTTTGCATGATGTCAGGTTAGCTGGACCTTTTCCAGACGTCTAGGCAATGTATCCTTCTCAACATTTGAAAACCTTTTTTGCACGATATCAAATTAAATGGATTTTTTCCAGATGTCTGTAAACTTTTTTTACACGAAGTCAGATTAAGTGGACTTTTTCCAAACGTCTAGATGTTTTTTTTAATGCTATTTGTTGGTTTGAAGCGCTTTTCCGGAGAAAATTCATTTCGTGGGAAACGAACCATTACTAGCATTAAAATTTCTAAAATTTACGAATTCTTTCATATTTCATAAATTAGAAAGTGCAGAAAGGCAGCGTTTCAGATACCCATAATTAAACTGAGAGCATTATGTGCTTCAAAATCAATCCCTAACTATACCATTTTCCAGTTGTTGGAAACTGTAGTGCAAAAGTCACCTCGAGGGTAAAAGCAAAAGAGCATAAGTTCAATACTGTAGCTGGAAGTTGAGGCCATAAAGCATATGTAGCTTTGTTATATGTCTTAAAAACTACAGGAATCGTATAATAGAGAGATAAAATGAAACAAAACAAAATGAAAAATTTTTGTTTTTTGCAACTTAATATTCTAAGCAACTTTAAGGTGTTAAAGAAGAAATTCTTAATATGTTATATTAATTAATATATATGACTCTTTAGAAAAAATAATATCTTTTAAAAAAACTTTAAATTTTAAACAACAAATGAAGTATTATTAAAACTAGGTTTTTTGTTTATGTTTTTTCTTTCCTTAATTGTGCTTCTTTTGATATTTTCTTTATGCTTGCGGGCTTGTTGTTGCTATTTCTATGAAAATTATAAAAATCCTCTTTTTCAGTTTCTTCTTTTTTTTTTTTCTTCCTCTTTACTATTGTTTTTTATTTTTTATTTATTTTTTTTTGGTTTTCTGGTGTTTTGTCTTGAAGTAGTTGTGTTATTGGCTGTTTTTCTTTTTTAATTTTCGTTTCTTTTTTGTTTTTTTTTTTTTTCTTGTTTTTATTAAATATTAAATATTTATGTCAGTAGACTTTATGTTTATATTCATAATACACACTTAATAGTATATTTAAAAAAATGTTAATTTTATATATGTATATATAGAAAAATGCAATTAGTTTTCCTTGTTTTCTTTTTTTCTTAGTTTTCGCTTTTGTTATTAAAAAAATTTTTTTTTTTTTTTTTTTGTTATTATTAATTTTGTTATGGCTTTCGCACAATATTAATAATTAAAAAAGAATGCTTGAAAGTTGTGTTCTATTTGCTTTCTGTGGCTTAGCAACCAGTCTATTACATTCTTTTTAGTTCATTCCCTTTCCGCTAATAATGGAAAAAAAAATTAAAAAAAAAAAAGAAACTGAATCACACTCTTTTGCGCTCACAATACAAAACTTGGCTTTGTTTTTTTTTTTGTTTTAAATAAGTAAAAAATGAATATATGAATGATTGACTGACTGACTGGATGGTAAGTCAGAGTAGTCGCTAGAGTTCGCCTTATTTAAGTTGTTTTGTATTGTTATTCGGATGTTTAACATTTTACAAATTACACTGCCATAGTATCGTAGGCTGTGAATCCTGCGCCACTTTGTTGTTGGAGTTGTTTGGGACCGGCTTCGTTTCTATATTGTGAATATAAAAAAGAAAAAAAAAAAAAAAAAAAAACGAAAACAAAATTCATATAAATATTATAAGTAATGCATATTTTTTATCTCTTTATTAATTTTATTTAAAAAAATATTGCTTTTCATAATAATTATTATATATGAAAACGAATTTAAAATTAATTCTTAAACGTTTTAAACAAGCATAAATTTCATTATTATATTCTATGGTTAGCAGATGGATAATTTACTTAATTATTTTTACGGATTATTTTATTTCAAAAAAAGTTTAATCAGAACATATTTAGAACCGCTATAACGAATGCTCAAAGCAAAAAAAATCCTGAGAAAACAAAACAAACTTCTTTAAAGGAAAATGTGGGAAAAATTTTGGAAAATTGCCTTAGCACTGTGATTGAATTTTATGCCTTAGTAGTAGTGATTGAAGTTTATTAATTTATTTATTTTACAAATGCCAGGGAAGGTTGTCAGTCCACTTGCCGCCGAAATTGGCTTATTAGAAGCCCACACAAAGTTTACTTTCTTAATCTTCTTAAAAAAATGTAAAGAGGCAGGAGGAGAATGGATTCAGTCAATACTAGGTGTTTTGATCATAACGGTTGAATTCGAGAGTTTCCTCTACAAAATTAACTGTTTTCCGTTTAATATGGTAACAGCCGACGCTAATCAAGGAGCGCTCAATATTTTTCTTCTTCCCAATTAATTACTCTCGTTGTTCATTTCAAAAACTCTGCTGTCGAAGCCCGTCTGCTCCATCATATCGCAATCAACGGTTTAGAAGTGGCTACCCGAATTGACTGAAAATGCAATTTTTTGAACAATTCTTCCAAGCGCTGGCCACGATACACTGTTGCAGCTCGAAAGGGCCCGGCGTACCCATCGGGCAGAACGCCTCCTAATTATCACTTGTTTAGAGCGATAAAGAAGTGCGAAAATGGACCGATGGATGAATCACTGTCAAACCAATATAAGTTCGTTCGGCATGATATCGCCCTGTTGTAGAAAATAATGGGAACTATTTTTTTTTACCGTTTAAGAAGATTATGCTGTAAAGCATCTTTCACTTTGACAACACTTCAGAACTTTGATGGTAAGGACCAGAAATCTATTTCAAATCCATAAAAATACCCTCCCTTGTTTAAATATTCCCCGTTTAATGCAACGAAAGTGTCTGTTTTGCTGCATCAGTGTGCCAAGCGCCTGAAATAGGCAACAAAATTTATAATTCATCAGCCAAAGTTGTAGTCACCATCAAAAACTTTAGGGTTAAGCCGAAGTTATAGTCAGCATCAAAAACTTTAAGGTTAAGAACCTTTTAATTTCTTGGCAGAAACACTGAAGGCTTTCGAATCGCTCGCAGCCTCATATATCCTCAAGAGTCCTCTTCGTGAAGCTTCAATAACATATTTTCATTTGGAACTGCTTTCAGATAAACATAAATAGCTTCGAAAGATATCTATTAACGATTTAGAGAAATTACAAATCAGCAAGTAAACCCTTAAGCCGGTGCTTATAGCATGTAGGAACGACTCAGGGGAAAAGGCCCGCAATTTCGAGGGAAAACAATTTAGGGTGAACGGTTTTCTTCCACCTACTAGAGAAAGTTCAAAGCATCTATTCATTTCTTTTGGAAAAATTTACAGGTTTAACGCCTAAAACTATACACGTTGTACAGATTGCAGAGCGACACGATATTTAAGATATAAAGTCGGAACATATTGTTTTATTTTCGCTTCCTTTTAATGATATATTTTTACGAATTAATTCACTAACAACGTCGAGCATTCGCTATTGATGATGACATGTTTTCACACACAATACATATACGTTTTACTTTCACAAACTGTGATTTGCTTTGAATGAAAAGTAATCATTGTAACAAACGAATATTAAAAAATATATATATAATATTTACATAAAATACAATAAATAAATAAAAGACAAAAAAAAATGATTTGGAAAAAAAACATGCAAAGAAAATTTAAGAAAATCAAATTGAAATATGTTTTTAATTTTTTTTACATTTTTTTTTTCTTGATTGCTTTTTTTTTTTTTTAAACAAAAGAAAAGAAAACACGGCCCAACTATTTTACTTACATATAATTACACATACATATGAACACACACATACATCATGCTAAGTTACATATTTATTTACACAACACATAATATATTAACAAACTTACAAGTGTCGGCGACTAAGTTTTTGATTTAATTATTAATTATTTAATATTTTTTTTTTGGGGGGGGGAAAGTAGGTAGATATTTAAGGTTGTGATAGAGAGATTAATTGGAATATGGAAAATATTTCAAATTGTGAAAGATGTAAAGAAAAGAGATTTATAATTGATTAATTAGTTTTTTTTTTTTTAATAAAAAAAAAGTTTTCTAAATTGAAAGATATTTTTTTAGTTTTTTTTTTTTTTACATTTTATGAAACTATTTATTTAATTACTTTACCTTTCAATTAATTTACGCATTTCTTCAGTAGTACGTTGATCCTTTTGATGGGGGGATCTTTTAACAGCTGTTAGGTTGAGTTTTGTTTTTTTTTTGTTCATTTTTTTTTTTTTTGGAATTTTATTATTAAAGAAAAGTGCAACAAACCCCACCATCAGAGAGTAATATTTAATTTAATTACACATTCCATTACAAATCATAAAAAATAGGAAAAAAGAAAGAACAAAATTAAAAAAAAAATTAAAAATTATATTTAAATAACATTTTATAAAAATTAAGAAATTATTTATATACAAATATATGCAAAAACTTTATGGAAATACGTGTTCAAATATCTGGAGAGGTAAAAGTGCTATGAACAGTGTTGCCGAAAAACTGCTTCGTCGCAACGTCGTTTATGTTAGTCTTCTTCAGTAGGCTTCTCTTATTAGGTCTAAAACTTTTATGGGAAAAACTCATGAGAGTAGAGAACAAGGAAAAAAAACTTGGGCATTAAAAGTAGTAAGCTGAAGGCAGGCGGTGATGATGTAATCAGTCTCAAGTTGTAAGAGCAAATAAAGCATTTTTTGGACTTTGCATTAACTTTAGTATTGCGAAGGAAAAGCCCCAAACACTAAAATATCAAATTTTGTATAGAAAACGGTTTGTCAAAAAAATGCTTTCTAACTTGTGACGTCTCTAAGATATTGCTAAACACGTCCTCATGCAACACTTCAAATTGTCAAATTGTTAAAGAGGAATATTACTTAACCTATACGTTATTTGTTTGAATAGGAAGGATCCGTCTAGCCTTCAACCCTTTCAGCTAAAGAACTCAGCCCCATCGTCAATACCTCAACACTATTAAAAAGTTAGATCGTGATCATCTTCTTTGATGGAGCTCAATTTCATATTAACAGTCCAGTAAATAAGCAAAATCATCGTTTTTGCTACGAAGGCAAAGCACAAGTTATTCACGAAGAACTTTTACACTTAAAGAAAGTATGTGCTGTGGTTTTGAATTGGAGGTGTCACCGTTTTTTTTTTTGCTTTGAAAATAAATGAGGGGTGTTTGCAATGTGTTGCATTCTTGTCAATTTTTGTTTAGATCTTTTTCAGATCTATTGAAGAATCTCTCTAAATTTGATTCCTGCCCATTAACGCCACGTTGCTGCTGTTTAGTTCAACAGATCATGAGCTTGAATAAGATTGAAGAACATAATTAATGCACCTTACGATCCACAATGTCTATATGTCTACATTTTACAAAAGAAAGCAAACACTTCACAAGAGAAGTTTTTAGAAATAGGTTCAGGAAGGGGAAGAGAAGTCAAGCTTCTATTTTGCTTTTGAATATCAGAATAATTTTCGGAGAATTTCTAAAAATTTTCTAAAGTCAGTGCAAGGTGTTACTGTTTACAATCGGCAACACTTGTTTAATAATGATATGGTTTTAAAAATATTTTCAGGCATTAGAATGCCTGTCTCCAGTGTTCTGGGAAAATTAGTTAACAAAAAAGAATAAGAACAGCTCGTTACTAGAAAGAGAAGGAAATCGAATTTTGTTGCTAATATTTTTCAATAGTTTACCAGAAAATGTTTAAAAAACTTTTGTCAAAACTAGAAAAGACTACGGAAAAGAGAAAATATTTGTCGTCTCCGTCTCTTATTGGTATGAATAAATTATTGTTACAAGGAATCTTTGCAAAATGTTGTTTTGCTGGATTTCATGCTCATTAAGATTTTCTGAAGTAGACGCAAACCTATTTTTGTGAGGCCAATAGGGACCACATAAACGCATAAAAAAAGACCGCAAGCATGTGAAAAAATTTTTTTTTATGCGTTGCTTAGGGACCTTACAAACGCAAAAAAAAACAAGTTTAAGTTAAGTTAAGTATGCATATTATTTTAACTTCGCACGCTATAAATGGGATCAAGGCAGGTTTAAAAATCACCGCAATGTCTAATACGAATCTTTATTGCATTTCATTGCATTCTATTGCGTTAACGAAAAAAAAGAAATATTGAGTCTAAGAATAAACGTAAAATAGAAATGTAAGTACACACACGTGAATGATTAAAACGAACACAAAGCCCTTATTCGTTTTTAGACTCAATATTTTTCTCGATTTTTTATCGCGCAGCAAATTTATAGCGGCGATTTCCTTCAAGATCCAATTAAAGCTGTTTTTTTTTTCGATTTTATAAATTAGTATGAGAGAAAAAAAAAACACACCCTACAAATTATATAAATACATCACATGCATGTTTTTATTTCTTGTGCATTATATAAACATTGATGAGAACCATAAGATGACAAAAAAAAAAAAAACACAAAAAACACAAAAAAATTAGTTACAAAGGAGTAAAAAAAAAATAAGTTTTTGGATACGAAAAATCGTAGAGATGTGCATTAAGAAATTTTGAAAGATATGCTTAAATTATAAAACATAAAATTCATACAGAAAAAAAAAAATGTTAAAATTAAAAATTTATGGCATAATAATAATAATAATAAGTAGAGGCAAAACACAGTATGAGAATTAGATATAATGCTTAAGCTTAAATGGTTTTGCGTTTCTCCGAAAGCGATACACTGATGATGACTTTAATGTTCACAAATATCATGATATTATGCATCTATTGATTAGCAATAAGAAAAAGCAAATATCATATACCCACCACCGCAATATTTGTTGCATTTGCTGATGCGATCTATTGCGCGTTATTGACAAAATACATTTAATAAGTATAAGAAGTACGTGTTTTAACTGTACTTATAAGCATTGGATTCGTGGGTGTTTTTGATTTTAGCGGAAAGTTTTGCATTGATGATTGAAAGGGGCTTTTTCTTAAGCGTGCGATTTACTTTATTAGATATTATTTAGATATTACATATTAATTTATATTGGGTTCTCTCTCTTCTCCTTCACAATTTCCTTGAACACTGGCAACCTATCATTCAGAGAGCAACAACATTTGTAAGTTGTCAAAATATAACAAGCGTTTACAGCTCTTTTGTTAAGTGAACAACTGAAAGCTTTGAGCAGACACTGTATACTTTTTCTAATGTGTTTGTGCTTTAGTACGAATTCGGGAAATTAGTTACGAGTTTTGAAAAGAGCATACCGTAGAGCGAAAAAATTAATCTTCCGTAGAAAAGTTACATACCTACATATATGGAAATATGCACATAATATGAAAATGCGTTCTTGCTAAAGAAATTGTTTTAAAGAAAAATTCCCTTGCTTTTGCGAAATACAAATGCATCAAATTTTAAAGACGCTTTTCCTAAATTTTACATGACATAAAAAGTCTCCGCGGTTTTTTGGTCTCTTCCAAACTGCCATGTGATTAATGTTTAGTGCCTCTGCTATTTGCTGACAGCTTGCGTGTCGGTCTTGCTCCAACAGTTGAAAAATTTCATTGACTTCTTCAGTGACAGCGAGGCGCATCTTTGACATCGAAATTTCCGGAACGGTATTGAGAAAACCTCCCATCACAGCACTTCACAAATTTTTCGGCAAGTTTCACCTTTTTTGTAACAAAAAACGACCACATTCTACCCATTTTCAAATCAATATAAGTTTTTAACCGAGCAAAGAATTAGAAAACTATCCGCACGAAATATGTAGCCTTAAGTGCCACCTTTTAAGCACATGTTCGTTTGAGACAATCGAGTGAATGTTGCCCGATATTAAGAGATCAACATCGTCCTATGGAAAAAACCCCGGGGAATATTCAATAATATTTATTAGTTGGGTAATATTCATACGACTGGTGTTGGAAATTCGTTCTGTACAGCGCAATTGAAGGCTCTCTTCTGTTTCCTTTTCTTTCGTTTGCGTTCATTTCTTGATTTGTGGCTTTTTATGCGCCTTTTTAAAAGTCAAGCGTCAAGAGCAAAGAATTAGAAAACTATCTGCACAAAAAATATATGAGTTGAAATGTGACCTATTAAGCATGTCTTCGTTTGAGTCAATCACGTGAGTGTTGCTCGGTATATAGTGGCAAAAAACAGCGAAGACTTTCTTTATCGATCTTTATATACCATTCTGGGCGATAAATTTTTGATGAAATCATTATGTCACCAAGGACGAACTTCTAGGATTCCTGGGGGAAAAACCGAATCAATTAATGTTTTTTTTTTTTTTTTTCTTTTTAATTATCTATAAATTTTAGCCTTTCATAAGAACTATTACTTAATTTGACTAAGTTTACAAAAATTACTTCAGCAACGAAACGCCACAGACTTCAAACCCATTGAAGGAAATTTTGAGTTTTCTCCGACAACTTATATTTATGGAATCCATATTATTTATAAATTTTTTATGGATAAGATACGGTTATACGGTTCTGTTTTTAGAAAGTCAAAATTTAGGTGGTGGGTATAAGATGCCGAAAATAATCTATTTTATAATGAAGATGAAATACTTAAATTGATGAATAAAGACGCCTAAAATTATTTTCGAAACTTTCGTATAAGTGCCTCCAATATAAATTGATAGTTTGAAATTTTACGGAAAGATTGAATTTTGTAACCTGGGTAGCAGACCCCATAGCAGAAAAATTCTCAATTATTATATAAAAAAAAATTGAATATCAATTCATTTTGGTACACTTTTCCTAATACATGTAATCATTATGAGCATTGGTGAGCGATGGATGATAAGCGTGATGATTTGAGATGTTACTGACAAATTTTAACAAATTTTCTTTTGAAATTGATTTTAGTTCTCCACACTCACCATCTCTAGAATCTTCTGTTTAATTTTTTAAATCAATAAATTATTAAAATTCAAATACAAAAAAAAAAAAAAAAAAAAAAAATGTTTGATTAAAATTTTAATTTTGAACATTTTTAAAATTTTTGTATTTTTGTTTTTCTTCTTCTTGTTTTGTATATACCATAAAATAATTGTCGTTAAAGTATCAGAAAACTCACCGCCATAATTGCCACGCGGTCCATGATCGCGATCACATTCAGCTTCTGAGATCTCATTACTTTCCTTGGAATCATTAAATGAGGAGTTGCTCATGTCATGATTACGTGGAGGAGGTGGTGGTGGCTCGGGGGAGCTGTTGCCTGGATTGCGTGCAGAACCTAAGCAAGCAATCGCAAAATTTTCAATTACGTAAAAAACACAAATTGAAATTATCTAATGACTGACCGACACTGCGTCTACCCATGGAACCACGTGAGCCATAGTGATCGTAAGGAGTGCCATAGGGGCCACCGTACTGCGAACCATATTGATCTTCTTCGGGAGCGCAATTAGCTGGATCGTCATACTCAGGGCCGGGACCAGAATACAAACTGCCTCCTTGCGAGTTAACACGAGTGTAACGGCGCTATTATTAAAACAAAAGACGAAGATATGTAATTGAGCGCGCATATGAAAAATTGGCAAAGTTTACTAACATATTGATCTTCTTCAGCACAGTTAGCAGGATCATCGTATTCTGGTGCCGGTGTATAAATTGACGATTGGCCTCCTTGACTATTTTTGCGAGCATAGCGATTAGCACGTGGCATAGATTGAGAACCAGAACGTGAATGCATGTGTCCGGGATGACCGGGTGGTCCCATAGTGCCAGCATGACCGGGTGGAGCATGACCGTTTTGATGAGGGAATGTCTGGAAATTCATAGCCTTGGTAGGATCCATTTCCTCGCGGAAGCCCAACAAATGGAAAGTGGCGTAAGGACAAATCTCATCTTCCATACCTAATTTCATTTTTATTGGTTTTTTTCCATTTTATTTGATTTATTTAAAAGAAATTAAAAACGCAAATTAGTAAAATATTTACGACTTTTTGTAAAAATTGTGTGTAAAATGTTTAGTGTAATTAAAACTCTGTATACTCTGGAGTGTATTAGATAATAAAAAAAAAAAAAAAAAAAAAAAATACAAAAGAAAAGGAAACATGCCATCTAAGTATATATATGAGCTGAGATCTAAGCCAAACACCGTGCTATAGCAACATACTTACTGCTGAAATGTGGTAAGTTAGAGACAGACCTTGAGATTAGTTAATGAAATGATTCGAACATAAAAAATAAAAAAGTAAATAAAAAAAAAATGTATGTACAATAAATAAGATTAAATAATTTATTATTATTAACAAACAAATGAGTTCAGATTTAGTTATTTTCAAATTAATAAATTTTGTTAATTTTTTTCCATCCCCTTGCAATAAATTTTTGTTGAATAAAATTTGATTTAATTTAAAATTAGGAAAAACAAAGAAACAAACATAAAACCCTTTTCTCTTTACCTGGATGTCTATAGTTACATTCGGCTATGTTATGACTGTGACCATAAATATTATTGTGAGCTGGTACTGGTGGTGGTTTTAGTTCTTCGTACAGATTGGGACGACGTGGATCCCAAGTTGAGTGACTAGTACGCATACCAGAACGAGCTGTTTTTTTTTTGAAAATATTTATGTACCCAACTATTATAAAAAACAACATTCACCTTTTTTTTTTTTTTTTTTTTTTTTTTTAAACAATTCTTATTTTTTAGCGTAATTTTGTCTTAAATAAAGAAGACACAATACTTAAAGAAAATTAGTCATATAACGAAAAGGCGGTATGGTATGGGAGTTTTTAAAACGTTCGCGTAAAAAGACTTGAACTTAAAGAAATGAATAAAAAGCTTATAATTAAATACCTTACACCACTTTGCTTAATAGTATTATTCATATGATTTTTTAAAATATGGATGTTATATGGTAAGGCTCGTCCTTGGGCCAAAAAAAACTGGTGTACCAAATTTCATCAAAACATCCCAAAAACTACCTGCAGGTTTCACATATGAAAACCATAAGTATGTTATATGGGGAATGGTGGAAAAAGTGCACGGACCTGAACTATTTTCAATAGCGTTTGTCTTTGGACCAAAGTACGTCTCCGTACCGAATTTCATTTAAATATCTCCAAAAATGGTGAACTGTAGCTTAAAACCACATTTATACGGACAGACAGAAAAGCTTATATCAGTTCAGAAAGTGATTCTAGATCGCTCAGCATAAAAAAAAATATGTCTATCTCAAGTCCTTCTGGGTGTGGCAGACATCCGTACAAATTTAATATATCCTTGTATCACAAGTGGTGTAGGGTATAAAGAAGGAAGATCTTATTGTCATCAGAGATTTGTGTGTAATACAAAAACATTGAAATTTATGTAATGAAATTTTAAATAGACATTTTTAAGTAATAAAATGAATAAAATTTAGAGTTTCAGAACACTTTGTCAAAAAGTTCAAACGTAACATGAGTTTAGAACTCAATTGTGCTTAGGTGATTAGGTGATTAAAATGATCAAGAAAGTATTTTTAAAATGTTGCAGGGAGTTCGCAATAGTTCTCTCTTCTTAAGCGACACGAGCTATGTGGAAAAATCAGTAAAAAAATTAAGGCCACCTAGCGACTAATCTTTATGATCCACCTCTTCAAACCGATACATTCAAATTGTAGATATATGCTTTTTATATGAGAATTTGTATTGGTTTAGTGGTCGCATCGTTCGCACATTAAGAAAATTAAGACCAAACTATTTGTAAAAATCCGCCTTGGATGCTTAAGAAATCTTATCAGCAAACGTGGACTGCATTTTACGATTAAAGACGTACTTTGTGAATTCCAAAGCCTTTCCACACACGTAGATGCGTTACAGTAGAAGGTAGATGGCGGATCAAGTGCATCAACGATTGTGGGTAAAGTCGCAAGCGATGGCTTCGTGAAGCGTATTCAATCATGATATTGCCAATCCAACCGACAAAGCAAAGGTTTTGGCATCTTGAAAAACCTTGCTTGTCCAATTCCCAATGATTTTCAAACTTATGTTTAGATTAGAAAAGAGTTTTCATATTATGTAAGTGATATTTGCAATTCTTCAAACTTTTAGGGCGCGTCTAAATTTACCTTACATCGCCAAAATCGACACTTTTTGATTTTAACAAGTAATCTTGATACCTAAGAGCAATGGATGAATTTAAGCGGCTTTTTTCTTTGAATTAAACAAAGAAAGTAACATTTGCTCTCAAATGATATTCGAAGATCGAAAAGCCTTTCCTACGCATGTTAAGCGCATGTACTATGGCGGATAACATGGATATAATACTTTGACATAAAATATAATTCTTTCATGCTATAAAGGGAGTGAACGAGGGGGTGAGAATGAAAGGGAGAGGAAGACAGAGAAAGAGAGAATGATAGAGAGAGGAGAGTGAGAGAAAGGGGACCTAGAGATAGAGAGTGAGAGAGAGAGAGGGGAGACAGAGAGAGTGAGAGAAAGACCTAGAGATAATGAGAGGCTAAGTGAGTGGGAGAGGGGGAAAGAGAGTAAGAGAAAAGGATGTTGAGAGGCGGAGAGTAAGGAAGAGGGAATGACAATGAGAGAGAGAGCTAGAGAGAGTTGGAGGGTGAGCAAGAGAGTGGGATTGAAGGGCGGGGGAAGAGTGAGGGAAAGGGTTGGAGAGAGTTGGGGAATGAGGAAGAGAATTTGAATGTGTTTGAGATTTGATTTTTGGAAGAAATCGTACTAGACTACGCTTTTGTGCTAAAGATCACAAAGAAATCAGAAGTTCAATGAAGAATGGCCAAGATTAATGCTTGCATTGCGGTTGTATTACACACATCTCTCTGTATTAACCGCATATTTAGAAAAGAAAATTCTTTACAATTAGTTTTTTTTCCAGATTCTTAAAATGCTATGTAAAAAATTAATTATTATTTATAATTTATAAAAATTGTTAATATCTATAAAATGTTGAATTGAAAAATCTAAATTTTCTAAAAACCAACCATACCTATATATAATATAAAACGTGCAAAATTTATGAAAAAAAATTATTATTGTTTTGTTTTTTGACTTTTTGTGCACAAATTTATCTAAAAACATCTAATAAAACATTTACGTATTATTGTGTATTAATATAATTACTAAAAAAGAAGAAAAGGTGAGATTTTCTGTTTTAATAAGCAAAGCTTCGGTGCTTTGGAAACAAAAAAATTTTTCTTATCGTGCTATGAAAGGAACTTGCGATTTTCAGAGGCAGAACTAAAAAAAGAAAAATAAATTTTCAATAAATCCGTTTTTTATATACATATATATGTATGTATATGCGCATGTATATATATGAATAAAGTCCGTTTTATTCGACTTTGAAGTGAAGCGGGGGGGATTTTGCTTTGCGGGCGTTTTTTTTTTTTTGCAACTCATAAAAATTGTTGTTGTTTTGAGTTTTGGAAAAAAAAAAATTTTTTTTAAAAATGTAATAAATAATATGAAAACATATTAATAAATGTTGGTTTTTTGGAAAATTTAGATGCTTACTTATAACTGTACCTCGCTTGATCCGATCGCAGGTATTGTAATTCGAGCCGGGCACAGGAGGCAGCTTACGATTGGGTGGAGCAATGTAACCCAATTCGTCACGTAAGTCGGGGCGGCGTTTATCCAGGGTGGCACCAGGTCCCATTGTCTGATTGTAAACTACATCGTCTAGAATTAATATATGGTATCGCAAAAACAAAAAAAAAAGTTATACACACTGAAGATGCTTTTACCCGTTAAACACGGACATACACATAGAGAGATTGAAAGAAGTTTTCTTACTTTACTTCTGTTTTTCTTTTCTTTTTTTTTTGAATTATTTATTTCAAGAGAATTCTTCTTCTTCTTCTTTGTTTGTTTCATTTAATTGTAATAAAAGATTTTGTGCATTGTTCAATAATTGAAAAAAGTGCTTTCGTTTCGCTTAGTAGTAGTAGTAGGTAGTACTTCACGAGACATAATGCAATGCAATATAAAAATCAATCAATCAATTCATTTCGATTCAAATCAAATACACATTTCCACAAGTCACTCACAAAATTCAGTTTACTCTGTAATATCGATCAATCGCTTGTATATATGAAAGTGCTTGAAACTAGATGTTCTTACTTTTTTAGTTTAATGTGTTGTTTGCAAAATTTTTTAGGAAAAAAAAAACGTAAAATTAATTAATAGTTACGATATAAGGCAATACGTTAAAAACTTTTTTGTAAAACTTCTTCTTAATGAATGATTAAAATGAAGAAATGTTTTTCTATAATTTTATGATTGTTTTTTTTTTTTTTTTTTTTTATTTTTTTAAAAAACAATTTTGTTTGGGTTAAAATATTATTGAAAAAAAAAAAAATATTTTTTTAAAAAATTAAGGAGGAAAGTTTAAAAAAAAATTCAAATTAAATGTAAAATGATTTTAAAAAATTTTTTTTTTTTTTTTTTTACACGGAATAATGTACACGTTATATATACAGATTAATTGTTGGTTTATTTATATATATTCTAGACACAGAGCCGGAGCAAAGGGGACTAAAGGGGAACAAAGGGGAGCTGAGGCTATATATATATATATATATATATATATGTATGTATGTATATGTATATACACATATATTCGGCATTACATATTAATAGGCTTTGACATTATTATTTACATTTACTGGCTATGAGAGACAGATAGGGTTAGAGAAAACAGATAAAATTTTGTACATTTTTTTCTTTTTTTTAAAATTTTTTATGAAAGAGTTTGGAATATATTTGATTAAGAAAACGTGTATATAACTTACACAGTATGCATATGATATAGACACATAAACATATTCAATAAAGGTTAAATTGTATAAGTGTGTATTAGTGTTAGTGACATGGACCTTGTTAAAATATAAAAAAAAAAAAATATTACGTTCTTATATATCTATTGATTGCACGTGAGCTATTATAGCCATCTAGGAACTCCAAATCAAGCAATTATTCAATGGCCAGAAAGTAAGTTCAATTCTGATCAATATAATCTCGCATATATTTTGAAAAATTTTCATTCCTTGTTGAAAGAAATTTTTAAAATTTTTAAAAATGGAAATCTGAAATGGAGGATAACTTCTGTATTCCCTTATTTTGTGTTTGAATGTGGCAACTACACAGTTAAATATATTAGGTCGAGTCATAAGTAATTTCCGTTTTTCCTAACTTGCGGACTTTCCCTAATTTCTCCAGCTAGTGGGTAACATTTGATTGGGAGTTAGCGAACCTCTAATATTGGCTTTAAAAGGTTGTCGTCAAAGTAAGAAGAACGTCCCGCCCTCAGACCATCTTTTAAGATCGTATCTTCAGAACCGAATTTTATAAACCAATTTCTAACTGCCCGATCAGTTATCAGTCCTTTACCGTGTACGTTGAATGTTTTTTCAGCTGTCGCCTTAGCGGTATTGCATTGTTTAAATTCTCAAAGCATTACATGTCGAAAATGCACTTTTTGACTCCCCATCTGAGAGTTTAAGAAAAGCAGCTGAATGTAACAGTTGACAGGAGACTAACTGAATCCTCGTCTATATAGTGAAAACAAAGTCTGGTTGATTACGGTGGCATATAGTGGTTAAATGCGAACAATATATTCCACATTCCTGCATCGAAAGTTACTTACGACTCGACCTTATAAGTATAAGTAAGCTGGTATAGTTAGGTAATAAGGTAGAGTAAGTTTAGTTGGAACGAAAACGCCCCATACGTATATTTTATGGTTGGGGACGCTCTAGAAGCTCTATATAAGTATTTAAGATCACGCGGAAAGGATCAAATCGTAAGCTTAAGAAAACACTGTCGTCAGAAATATGCTTGCAAAGTTCCAGTCGCCTTGGCCCGAATTTTTGATACCCCAACCCGTCATCGAGTTTGTAAGGCAGACGGTGTAAGATTCGGGCGTATAAGGTGAAAAAGTTACACTGACTATTTTGAATGGTAATCCGAAATATTTTTATCAAGTACGATTTCAATATATTTTGTTTGGCCGCAATTGGCCTATTAAGCTGGTAGGGGAATCACGTCATTCTTACTCTTAAGTTGGTATTGGTACAAGTTTTAAGTTAACATCTGGTAGAGATTTTTTTTTCTTTTTACATCGGATGACCCTTATTTTACCTCGCTTTGAGAAACGTTCGTATCGAATTTCATGCCAAAATTCTGTTATGGATTGTGGGTTATAGCTTTTTGTGTATTAGCGAATACCATGCCGATTAAGAATATCCTCCTTAAAAGGTCACCTGCTCGGGCCGTTGCAAACAAACGGACAACTTTAGTGAATGTTTAACCTTCAATGATGAGAATGTAAAACAACACCTTTACGTTCCTACGAATTTTAGAATTTCATAATCTTACAGACTTCTCCATCGTACGATCAATACGAAAGCATTTTGACGCATGACGGATGCGTTGCATTAATACATCGTCTAGTCGTGTGCTCTCTAGTAAAATATCTATATTGACTTTAAAATGTGTTGTCTCTCAAACAACGGCTGACAAAAATTTCATGTCATTTCGAACAATTGCTTATGAGTTGTTTTCGAAACAGTGGAAAATCCGGATGCGTTGTGTTGACTAAAAACTGCCTCAGCGCTGATTCCATGTATTAAGGCAGCACTTCCCATATTGATGATCAAATTAGAACTTCGTAGAAAACTGTGCCTCACCTATATTTGTTGATGTTGAGGCCAAATGGAGACCTTTTTTCCATCAGAGAATTTGTACGGAAAGGATCCGAAAAATAAATCAATGTACTCTATTTGTAGCATAATAAGTTTATCATCATCCTTACGGAGCGCTTTCCCTTAATCGAAAAACTATACCTTATTACCCTATGAAATCATATTATTTTTAAAAATGTTTATAAGGGAACGAGTTCGCAAATGGTACCATTTGAAGCAAATGTTCTACATTTATTATTAAAAAGAGCCATATCTTTCAGGCAACAACTTTATTAAAATAGAGCATTATACGAGGAGTGATCATAAAGATGGTCCGAACCAATCCATGAACAAGCCGTGAAAAGACATCGGTGAAGCAGAAAAATGCATAGAACAACAACGGACAAAACGGATAATTAGACAGAAAACATGAAAACGCGTAAGAAAAATATTCTGAAGCGGCTGGTTTAATAAGTGGCTGGTTCCTGGTATATATCAATTATCGATTTTTAAATTTGCCTTGATGTACTAACTCTACGTGTTTAGAGTGTTCTTGTTGTTGCATCTACGTGAGATTCAAATATTTTTCTTTAAATTTTGTTTGTGTAAAACTCTTTTTAACAGATTGTTATTAGACATGCCTACCATTTGTCTAAAGAGATGTATTATGGTACAATTTTTAGTTGAACTTACGCATTATTTTGTGGCTTTTTGGGTGTATTCGTTGAAATGTGTACTTGGTTGGTTATTTATACTACGTTTAATAGTTATAAGCATGCCATATGATTTAGTACAACATCTATAATAAAATGAATTTAATTTAAATTTAAGGTAAAAAAAAAAAACACATTAAAAATAAATATTACCTAATATTTTAAAAGCTTACTAAGAAATAGTTATGTGAGAAGAGAAGAAAAGTGATTATATTCGCCCGTAAGGGATCATTCTTTACATCCATGATTGTAATTTGTTTTCCAAATTTTCTCTTGTTCACAAAATTTGTTATGTTTAATTTTATACATATAACATTATTGCACAGTGGTATTTGTCGGCATCTCGATTTATGTTTGTAAAGGATTTAATGACGGATTTAATGTTCTTTCAAGAGAAAGCTTAACTTGTTGGCGCACGATATATAAAGAATGCGTCATCAATCTTGGACTAGCCTTGGATATAAGACACTTTATGTAAACGTGTTTTGTTTTCTGAGAGGTGCGAGACCTATATGCCAATTTTGCCCAACTTCCCACGACTTTGCTGCCGCATTATTTACCTCGTGTCACGCCGTTGTAGATAATTAAGACAAAATATAAATCAATTGCAAAGAAAGAACTTTAAGTGGGTTTGGATCGCAAAGCAGTAGTAGTTATAGATGCGATGCATTGTGATATGCGTTTTTTCACAATCCCTTTTCATCTCTTTATTGGTAAAAGAAGAATGCAACCATGCACTGTAAAGGGATTGTGAAATTCGGCCGCGCCAATTTAAAAATTTTGGGACGGGAGATGGCGGACTGTAATGACAGAACCAGAAAGAGAGAAGGAGAACAAAGATGGTGGATCGTGAATGGTTTTCCATAGACATCATGGACCGAAGGAGATTTTAGGCAGGGGGGACATATAAAGGCTCAGGCGCACAAAGGAAGCCCATTCGCAAGTTTATACGTTTTCGGTAAGTAAGTAAGAGTAAGTGCGTGCTGTTCTTTTAATTGTAACAGTCTAAGAATGTCTATGAACCAAAGTATAGCACACCTCCCACATCTCGTGAACAAGCTACCTCAGCAAAGACACGTATATCGATTTCATAGGCCTCCGATCCTTCTAAATTGACACTTTCGGGTTGTCCCTAAATCTAATGCAATTAATACTTTTCTATAAACACACCGGAAGGATGAAGACAGCACTATTATTGCAGTGTTTGGAACCCACAATTGCTGAAATTGATGACAAAATGATGTTGGGTGCATGGGAGAATGGGAATTGATCGATAAAGAAAATGTTTTGAAAAGTACCGGCAAAAACCATTATTTGCATTTTGAAAAACGAATCAAAATCTTTTCTTGAATCTTGAGTACAAGTTAAAATTCTTGGAATTTTATTACAGAGATGGATGTAACTTTGTGTGTTTATTGTGTGTGAAGAGTGACTTTAGAAAATCAAATGTGTCCTTTAGGAATTTAAATTTAAATTCCCTTAAAGTTTTGTATGTAAGTTAAAAACAGAAATAAAATAAAATATTATTTGTTATAATGTTTAAATTAATTAAAAATGACACCAAAAAGAAATAACAAAAAAAAAAAAAATTAATCAATCAATCGCACAAGCATTCCAACAATAAACATTAGACAATGAACCTACAATAGACATCCTTTTGTCCGCCACGCAAATCATCGGCACGGCGTCTTGACAAAGCCACGCAAACGACCAAAATACCCACCGCAACCACTATAACGGTGGCGATAAGTGGTACCATAAAGTTTAGATCTAACCATTCGGGCATCCAGGCGGGCAATCGTATGCGGGTATGCAAATTTCCAGAACCGCGACCATCATCCAGAGGAGCGATTGTGCCTTTGTTGTATTTGGTGGATAACATTTTTTTTTTTTTATTACAAAGACATGCATTTTGTTTTTTTTTGTGTATTAAGCCATAGCACAATATATATAATAACACGCACACAAATAAGATATGCGGATGCATTTTTTTATTTTTATTTATTTATTTTTTTTTATTTTTATTATTAAAATATTTTTTATAACCAAACAAAATGAATAGGTATTAAAAAAAAAATAAATAAATAACAAAAAAATAAAAAAAAAAAAAAAAAACGAAAGTAGAAAGAAAAAGAGAGAAAGAGAGAGAAAGAGAGAGAGAGAGAAAGACAAAAAAATTAGTTAAACATCTTGATATATACCTTTATGATGATTGCCTTTGTTACGTAGTATACAAATAACAATAATGGCAATGATTATGACTAGCAAAGCGGCTACCACGGGCACGACTAAGTTTAAGTTCGACAATATGATGCGTATTGTATCCTCGGCGGTTAATTCGGGCAAATCGCGCGATGGAGCAATAGTTCCTGTAACAACCAAAGATTAAACCATAGAAAAAACAACAGCGAAGAGCACAAAAGGCTTGCAACTTCTTTTCCAATTTGCTTGTTTTTTTTTTTTTTTTTTTTTTTTTTTTTTTTTTTTTTTAAT